TCACACACACACATGCGCATATACAAAATATATGGTCTATGTAACAGAAAAGTCAATAATTTATGAAACACATAAAATGATATTTGCCTAGTGCATTTAAAATGATGAACCCTGCTAATTAAAATTTGGATTTTTTTCTCATTTTTTCAAAGAAAGTTTATGATATAATTATGATATAATCCTGAATTTGTGGTAGAATTGTGTAGCAGGAAAAAGATGTGGCTGGATTCCAAGTTCACTCACAGCACACTTAGATGTGCAAAAGAAACGTAGCTTCTTCATTTCTCTATGGCTGACTTCATTCTCCTATGAGCCTCCACGCTGCTGGATGGAGCAGACATTTAGATGCACCAACAAATGATTGATGATTTAAACAGTAACCTTTTGGTCTAAATTTCAATCTCTTCAAATCGGATGTGATACCGTCCATCAGAGCTGGTTTAAATGTTTTGTTTTGGGTGATTCCATCTTTCAGTAAATGCTCAGACTTTCAGAATGCTCTGTTCCCTTCTGGGTAGCAGCAGGGCGGCTGAGGGGCTTTCCTGTGTTCTTTGTGGCATCCCTGGCCATGCACCGGCTGCTGTCCCCTATAATCTGGCTGCCTTGCTTCTTCCCCTGGGCATCCTGCTGGTGGTTGCTCCTGAAATCTGAGGCTGCCGTAACTGGTATGTGCTCTCTCAGGTTGGCCTGAGACCAAGATTTCTCTCTGCTGACTTGGCCCCTGAGGCTTGGCTGTCACCTGGCTTCAAAGCCATTTTGCTTTCACTTGGAGATTGCTGCCAAGTTGCACAGCCAACACCATCTGCTTTCTTCTGCAGCCCTCCTCCTGCCAGCAGAAACTTCAGAACTCACTGTGTTGTGTGAGGGCCTAGGGGAGCTCATACTCTCCCTACACGTGTAGTGGCCCGGCACGCGCTGCAAACCAGGGCTTTCCCACCATGCGTACAGGAGTAGAGCCGCTCCGCTTGTTGAGCAGATCTGTCCCCGCCTGGGCTTCAGCCAAGAGGAGGAGGCCAGGACTCGGTGTTTCCTCCCCGGCCTCTTTCCCCACCTGTACCCGTCCACAGGTTCTTGCCACCTCCTCTTCCAGCCGTCCGCTCCTCCCTCCTTACACCAAACTTCAAGATCAGTCACCAGATCAGGTTCTTCCCACGTTAATAGGACAATAAAGTGTTTAGGAGTGTTTTATTTTTCAATAAGATCAGAAAAAAAATCCTATTTTGGTTTTCAGAACGCAAACAGTAAATCTTTTTCTCTGCACTCCTGCCACAAAGGTTCAAATACACAGCCTTGCCTCCGTCTCCAGCCCCTCCTTTGCCCCGGGCCTTTTCTGCAGGTTCCAGATAGGAAAGCCCAGTAATGCATTTCCAAAGGATGTTACCCTTGTTCCATGTGCAAAAAGAGCTGCAATTTCAAGGGTCTCTTAGTTAATAAATCGATAAAGGAATCATATTTTATTCTGAATTTTAGCAAGCCTTAAAATTCGAGAGATCGTTATTTACAGCTAGACTCACGCTAGCATTTATGTGGCAGCAGCAGGAAAGGCTTTTGAAAATTTGATATCTGATGGAATCGCTGCTTTTCATCTTATTTTATAGAATTATTTCCTCTATCATCTCATGTTTGGGCATCCTAAAATAGCTTAATGACCCTCTCTCTATTAATAAAATATGAGTTAGAGTTCATTTAACCAAGACTTCAAAATAATTCAACATTCTACACTGTATTTGGGAGATGACCTCAGACTATCACCGAAAAAAGATTTTGAACTCATTTTATTAAATCGAATGTGAAGCTTTAGGTCAGTACCTAAGACTCTCTACCTAATTTTCTTGTTAAAAAAACCAAACTGTCAAAGCAAAACTGTCATTTGATTGTATATACAACCCTTGAACTTAGGAATTTTTAAAAGAGTTCCATGAATTCCCTGTAGTTTTATGCAATATTCTGTATTTACATTTTCATGGGAGAAAAATCATAACTTTTATCAATTCATCAAACCAAGGATTCTGATTCCCAAACAGGGTTAAATTTTCTTCTGTGCTTTATGCCCAATAGTAGTGAGTGGCCAATCAATTATTTGACAGAAATAGAATATAAATGACAAATTGGCCTTTGCAATGAAATAAGTAGGTTGAGAGGTTCTTATTATGAATAAAGTATTTGTTAAAGGTAAATAACTGGGTAGCTATATAAGTTTTCCTTCACTAAAGACGTAAAATCAAATGAACTGATTCTCATCTTCCTGAGCCCCTTCGAGCTGACTGGACAGAGTGCAAACTCCTTAGCCCAATACAAAATGCCACTTACAACCAACCCAGCCCAGCCTTTCCAGATTTACCTGTCACTTTGCCCTCACTCTCTATTTCGGCCAAACCCAATTACTCACTTTCCTCTGAATCCCTCGTGCATTTTCAAACCTCTGTGTTCAAATCCTCTCTGTCTGGCAAACTCCTACCTATCCTTCAATGTTTCTTCCCCCTCACTATGCATAGTCCCCATCAAAGCACTCTGCATACTCGCTATTGTAACAGCATGACGGATTGCCCTTGTTATTTCCCTGTCCTTACCCACTATTAACGGGACTATCGTGATGGCTGGGACAATATTATATTCATCCCATGTCCCTAGGACTGAGCATAGTGCCTGGCTGAGAGGAGAAACTCAATATATGCTGGTTGAACTAGTAATTGGAGGATTCAAGAGAGTTAATTAAAGAGTCTGGCAGAGGACAGTGGGAGAAGGCTGAGCCTTTGGACAAAGAGACATGAATTCACCTTATTCTCATGACACTATCTGGAATGATATGTCATTGTCCCGATGAAGGTATTCAGGTATCAGCTGGGAATAGGGGCAAGCTATGGCAGCTCAGGTCCTATGCCAGAGTGGAGCACCCTTCTGCACGGAGGCCCGCCTTGCATCAGCCCTCCTGGAGGCCTCCCCTCCACCCTCTCCTATCTCAGCCTCTGCTACTGTCCCTTCTCATTTCTTTTCTTCTCGCTCCCCCTCCTTTCCCTGTCATTACATCACAGCCCATCCCTGTCTGCCACACACACACCAGGACCCGGATGATAGCAGTCGGGTTGTGCACACTTCCACCAGCCAGGGTTACGGACTCCCATGTAGAAGCTTACAGTTTGCAAAGCACTGTCACAATGTCACCTATATCAGCTCATATAACCTTACTCTGGACCTAGTTATCTTTGGTCAGCCGATGTGGAGAAAAACATAGCAACTTAAGTCATCTAAGGCAAAGTACCTGGATGAGCCCAGCCTGGAACAAGGTCTTTTAACTCTATTTGCACTTTGGAGTTCATGTTAGAAAACAGGGCAAAGTTGGTGATGGTGTCCTTAGTTTAACCAAATATTAATAAAAACACTTTTGTTGTTCTAAAAGTAATTAACATGCAGTAAAAAAATTACATAAAATACAGAAAAGCAGGACGCCTGGGTGGCTCTGTCGGTTGAGCGGCTGCCTTCGGCTCAGGTCATGATCTCAGGGTCCTGGGATCGAGTCCCGTGTCGGGCTTCTTGCTCAGCGGGGAGCCCTCTTCTCTCTCTGCCTGCCGCTCCTCCTGCTTGTGCACGCTCTCTTTAAAAAATACATAAAAGCTACAAAATAAAATGCAATGTATCCCTCCATACTGCCCCCCCCAAGATCTTTATTCCTGCTCTCCTAAGGTTGCCACCATGAAAAATATCTTGTGTATCCTTCCAGAAATGTCCTCAGTGTCCTTCCAGAAGTGTGTGCATACATATACATACATATGTGCTATATAAAAATATTACATATATTTATAAGCATACACAACTAGAAGTATGTATAAATAACTAGAAGTATGTATGTATAAATATGCCCCTATGTACAAATATAAGACAACTAAAATATAAAAAATATATAAAATCATACACATATGTGTATTTGTATACATACATATATATAAAATAATTCTATATAAAGACCTATCTATCCTATTTACATGTGTTGTTTATATATATGTATGGATATATACACATACACACATACATGTATACACAAATCTACATATATATAGTCAACCACGGACCTGAATGTGGAGGGGCATGCCTGGTGGTGGAGGCTGGTGACGTTACTCCTGCTGGTATGCCAAATTTAATGAAGGGAATCAGGGAGCAGTTTTTTTGTTGTTAGAGAAGATAGCTGTTTAGGCAGTGCCAGATCTTCTGTTGGGCCCAGTCTGGTTTGGGCAGAGTCTTCTTTCCTAGGACCCTTGGTCTGTGGGTCCCCCTACTTGGTGACTCTCAGAAGTTGCTCTGCTTGACAGCAACTGCTGTGATCATTTGAGCTCCAAGACTGATCTGCTGGTTCCTTTGGAACACACCCCTCCGAGCTCCACGGAATGGTCTAGAGTGGTAACTGACTGTTTGTTGACTCCACCTACCCTCCCTGCCAGTGACTGGAGGGTAAAGACAATGTTTCAATCATTCTGTTGCCCCAGCACAGACCCCACCCCTCAGTGAGTGCTTGCCCGCCAGATCTGAAGCTGTAACTGACATTTACAACAGCTCACCTGCAAAGTCTCCACAGAGCTCCATGGAGAGATAGATGCCCTTTCTTACTGAAAAGTCATCAAGAGCATCCTCTCTTCTAGACACCATTTAGAAGTAGGTCATTTCTCTTTAGTGCTTCTAGCTTCCTCTTCTATCCTCATACTGCTTTGAAACTAGCAAACTAAAGCAAGCCATTTTGTGTGATTTCTGCGCTTGGCAGCTGAGGTTATTTTGGGGGACGGCCATTGTTCTACGTTCTGAAATATTCATTCAGACTTCGCATACTCTTTATTCTCCTGGGGAATAAATAACCTTGAGTCTCTTAGGAGGCATGCAATGAGAAAAGAAAATTTAAAAAATGGAGCAACAACAACAAAAGGGAAAGAAAGGTAAAAGACCAAGAGCTTCAACTCTACAAACTCATATGCATACATCTTTAATGACACAGTTGCTAAACTTGGAAGCTGTAAGGTTGGATTGGAACACACCAGCTGGAAAACCTGGCTTCAGTCCCAGCTTTGCCATGGAGTGGTGAGGCAGGACTGCTCAAAGCTTCAGCCGCCTCACCTGTGGCAGGGCCGAACTGGCAAAGAGCAGTCTAAGTAGATTCAAGAGAGGCACTGATGCTCTGATGAAGTTCCAGGTGGAAGAGCCATTCACTTATCCTGTGTTTAGAGAGACAGCAGGAGTTAAAGGGATATGGACTTTGACCCAGTTTAGGGAAGAACTTTCTAAAATAAAGTTGTCAAAAATTGAAATGGACCACTTTGTAAGGTGATAAATTCTCTGGTACTGGAAAGATTTGATAGAATCTGGACAGAAGAATGCTTTCTGTGGTTTCCAAATTTCCTGACATCCCTTAAGAATATGATTCTGTGACCAGTTGATCTCCAAGGCAGCCTAGCCAAATGAACTTTTTCTGCAGTGATGAAAATGTGATATATCTGTGCTGTCCAAAATGGTAGTCACTAGCCACATGTCCCTGTTGAGCCCTTGAAATGTGGCTAGTAGGGCAGAGGAAATGAATTTTTAATGTAATTCAGTTCTAGCTAATTTTGATTTAAAAAGCCACATATGGCTAATGGCTACCATATTAGTCCAGCTCTGAAATCTTTGATGTTTTTTTCGTTTCATCATCATGGCCTATCACATCATCATCACATACTCTGTCCTGGACACCGCAAATAAACTTGGCTCTATTTAGGATACGATCTTTCTTTAGAGGGAGTTACCTCCTGAGAAAGAAGAAGAACCCATTTAAAACAATGGAAATAGAATAAAGAATAATAATAGATAGCAAATAAACTGTTGCCAAACTGGAAAGTGCAGCCAGAGAACCTATTGTACAGCCACAATAAAAACCCTGGTGTTTCTAAGAAGCATAAAGATGTGAACTCCCCCTGGTCCGGGGTGGGTGGGTGGGGGGGTGGGAGGGAAGTAGCTCTGCGCTCAGTGCTCCCAACCAACATGCTGTCGCACTGAATGGAGGATTCTTCCCGCAGTACATGCTCAATGGGCTGTTTTAGGGTTTTTTTCCTATACATTTTAAGAGTGATAGAGATTTAGAACAATGTGATAAAGTAACCTCAGGCTTCATGTTACTTCACCAGAAAGAGGAAGTTGTTTGAATTAGAACTTATCATTTCAGATCAGGAAGAGGCCTCAGAGATTATATGATCTAGTCTCTATATTTTACAGAGAAGAAAACCAAAGCCTGAAGCCCAGAAAAGGCTTGTGACTTGCGACAGTCACGTGGTTATTAACAGAATATTTCATTTCTGTAAAAAAGTTAATATGCAGTAAATCACAAAGAGTTACCCATCGAAAATAACCTTTTTCTAAAAAATAAAAACAAAAACAGTGCTTCCCAAGAGTTTATTAGTGCTGAAGAAGAGTCAGAGGTGTCATTAGTAGCTTTCTTGGGGAATGTTTCAAACCTCTCATGCTTCCTGAGAGCATGACAGAGGCCTTTATTGGAAACCTGCTTGGAGGACTGCACTGAGCTTCTGCTTGTGCTTACCTTGGCTAAGACCATGTCTCCTCAGATTTGGTCCAGAGAAGAAATGCAATGTGCTCAGGATCTGCTCCAGGGCCATATTCTCTCCAAACAAGGCTCTCTGGGGGCAGTTCCCAAGAAGAAATTCTTCCCCCTCAGAGTTCATTGAACATTCTTGTAGGTCCCCTAGAGAATGGCAAAATCTAAACAAACAAGTTCTATTTTCAATTTGTGTTTCTGAAAACCGAACTTCACCCACATGAAACTAACCAGCAGGCTTCAAATGCTGAAGGCTTCTAGGTACTTTCTGAGTTTGCTCTGACTCATGTCTTACCTACATTTTTAACCTTGATTTAAAAAAAATAAAGCAAAATAAAGCAAAGAAATGAGGGCTCTCTTTCAATGTAAACTATTTGATTCTTCCCACAACCTCATCTTTTCTCCATTACCACGTAAAACTCTTCTTCCTTGAAATGGTTATAGGATTCAGATAACTAACATATTTGGAAGAATATTTTTGGAGCATTTAGACTTTTGACATTCAACAATTTAACAGAAGGTACTGTCACATCAAATGCTATGATCTAATCACATTTCTTTTCATAATGACTAACAGATTTTCATGATGTCAGTTGCCCATACAAAAACCGTAGTTGGCTTTCTTCTGGGATCTTTTGGATTAAATAAGAGTTCCTAAGTCTGGCAGCTTAATATTAATGTTTTCTTTCTTTCTTCCTATCAAAATACTTTTTAAATTCACCCCCAGCCTCACTCTAACACATTTTTTTTCAGCCAGGCTAGTCTCCATACCATGCTCCCTCCCCTAAATTCTTGTTTATGATCTTCTTTATGCCTTCCTTGCTTGGCATTCCATACTTTATTCCCTCTACCGGGGACCATCCCTTCTTCCAAGAATGGGCTTAAAGCTGCTTCTCTTCTAGAAATCGTCCCATCTAAGCCCATCCAAGACTTGTGTCCTATCACTTGTCTACTCTGAGAGTCACTACACATTTTGTTTTGTGTTACTTTTGTGCAAAAAGCTGTAAACTTTTAGAGCGAGGGATATGGGGGTGGAGACAGACGACACAGATACACAGTTGGCTTTACCCCTGTCAGTCTCCAGATATGGAATGGAGTTCAGATTGACTGAGTGATATGTCCAAGATCACACGGAATTAGAAGCCACATCTCCAAGACCACTGCTCATTTCATCACACCACATTGCCTTTTATTTTCATATTTGCATCTACTAATAACTGAGAAAAATATAAATAGTATTACACAATACATAAAGAAAAATTCACAACTGCATTAGAGTGATGCTTATGTTTTTATTACTTAAAATTATGGCTGTGACAGAGAGACCACTGGACCATGTTTCTCAGTCTTACCAGCAGTGAGATGCCATCAGGAGACTGCGTTCTGGCGAATGGAAGAAGTATAAAGGTAATGTGTGTAGCTCCAGATCTGGCTGATAAAAACCTCCTTGCACACCTCCATGCCCTCTCCTCTCACTCTGATGGTTGATGGTGGGTTCCAGGGTGACCTTGGAGGCCAGAGTTGAAGATGGTAGAGTCATAAGATGAAAAAGAAGCTTGGTCCTGAATCACCTTTTGGAGGAGAGCTGCCTGGTGATTCAGAGCACACACTTTGAACTGTGTTACGAGCAAGACACTGTGATGTTAACAAGGAACAGTATTAAGCCACTGAGATTTTGGCTAGCATCTATCCAAACTAATATACATTCATTACATAATTCTTACAACATTCATATGAACTTGGCATTATCTGCATTGAACAAATGGGAAACCCAAAATGAAAGTGGTCACACTTCTTACATGAGGCACAGCCAAAATGTGAACCCAAGTCTGTCTGATTCCACATGCTTTTTTTCCCCCAAGAATACAGAGGTTCCTGTGGTGACGATTCAACTTAATAGACTTAGATAAGAACCATTTTATGCACCTATGTAGAAATGCATCAACTCTGCCCACCACCAACAGATGGCAGTAGTGGCTGCCTATAGACTGTCACTGAATTTATGAACAAATGGATTTAGGAATATCATAAAATGAAATATAACCTATATGTGCATACAGGAATTTCTGAATGCTCTGCTGCCTTTTCTCTGTGAGGAATAATTTACCTTCTTGAGAATTATCATTGCAAATTATTCAAACTTGTGGGTCTTTAATTCTCTCCTCTGAGAATGAGGAAATCAGCCTAGAATCGACTGTATTCAGTAAATCCCTTCAGAGGCTGACATTCCATTGTGTGCCTGTGAACTGATCCTGTAAAGAAATTCACACTGGGCTGGCCCTCTCTCCCTTGGGGAGGCAGGCTTGGTAGTAAATTACGTTCTGTGATTACTCTTGGCAATGGGTCAACAAGACTACAACTAATGCCAATTTAACCTTTCTTCCTTCCTTCCTTCCTTCCTTCCTTTCTTTTTCTTTCTTTCTTTCTTTCTTTCTTTCTTTCTTTCTTTCTTTCTTTCTTTCTTTCTTTCTTTCTTTCTTTCTTTCTTTCTTTCTTTCTTTCTTTCTTTCTTTCTCTCTCTCTCTCCCTCTTTCTTTCTTTCCTTACTTAGCTTCTCTATATTTTAAAAAATTTCCTCCCATGAACACATGTCATTGTACAATTAAAATAATATTATAGATGGACATTCAAACCAAGCAAGCAATGTGAAGGACAACATTATAAAGAATGAGGCAATACAGCTGAATGGTTAACAACATAGGCTTTGGATCATGATAGTCCTGGGTTCAAAGCCCTGCTCTGCCACTCTCTTACAATATGGCCATAGGAAAGTTTCCCAACCTTCCAAAGCCTCAGTTTCCCCATCTACAAAAAGGAGGGAGAGTATTATATCTACATTATAGGGTTTTGTGAGGATTAAATACAATATGAGGCAGAGGGCCTAGGGATGAGATGGTGAAGATGGTGAGAACGATAGACATGTGATTACATTAAAATGGTTTTAACTGACAATAAAATTATAAATAGCAATTTTATGCTAATGACTCACTTACCATATTGACTCAAGTTATTTTCTGGTGTGTATGCAGCTTGAATGTCCTAGATCCTCATACCTTCCTCAAAACAGAAGTCACAGCTTCTTTTTATTCTCTGGCATACCTGGTTCATGGACACAGAAAGAGGATAAGTCAGTCAGTACTTCTTGAGTAAGGGAATTATAACATGATCCTTGCTCTATCTCTAAGCATTCAACTTCAGATTTTCGCAGAGCAGTTTTTATAGCACCATACCTGTCCATAAAGAAGAAGGAAAGCAGGTCTGTCTAGCAGGATGCTTAACATGGTGCTATAAACTATAGACTCTAGAAATATAGACTATAGAACTAGGTAGACTATAGACTAGAGAACTAGAGAATTATAGATTATTGAACTGTCCTGAATATTGTGGTTGCCACTCACCACATGTGGCTATTTAGATTTAAATGCAACTAAAAACACACTTCCTCACAGTAGCCACATGTCAAGTGTTCAAAGGCCGCACGTGGTGAGCAGCTACCCCACTGAACAGTGCAGATATAGAATAGTCCCATCGCTGCAGAGAGTTCTACTGGATGCTGCTGCTCCAGAACTCCTCAGGAAGGCCCTGAAAGTTGGAGAGAGCAAATTGTCCGAGTCAGGGCCTTCTGGCCAAATACTTCTTTTTTCTATTTTAATTTTTTAAAAGACCACTAAATGCCAACTATGTGACATGTGTATGGCTACAATTTATTAAGCATTTAGTATGTGCAAGACATAATGCTCAGGCCTTTGCACACATCATTTACCTAATCCTCATGCTCTGAAATACAGACATTGATTATAATAGTTATTACTAATAATTATTAATACTTAGAGCAATTATTATAAATATTATTATTAGTTATGACTAACTTGCTTTTTAGAAGTGAGAAAACAGAGGCTCACAGAGGTTGAATAACTTGCCTGAGATCACACAGCTTAGAAGTAGCAAAGCTGGGATTTAAATTCAGCATTTGTCTGGCTCAGCCTACCCACTAGGTTCTACTGTTTTTTCCTTTATCATACCTCTTGGAGGCACAGTTTAGGAGCTGTGGAGATATACAAATGCATGCAACAGTGACTACCGTCAAAGCCTGTCAACCTAGTTGGGGAATAAATGGATAGAAATGAATATAATTAACTATAGTTACAGAATAAGCTCTGTTAAAGAAGAATGATACATATGATAAAAAGAAATATGGAATGGACTGGAGGTAAGAAAACCAATTAAGAGGCCATTGCATTAATCAGGGCATACTTAAGATAAGGTGTAGGAGTTGAATAGTGGAGATAGTGGAAATGGGAAAAGGCACAGAGGAAAAACAATCTGTATTCAGGGACCATTTGTATTTAGGGAGAAAGAAAAAAGGAAGGTTGGTTGCCAGTCTCTAAGATGATGCCCCTCCCCACAGTGATCCTTGCCTCCTGGTATTCATGCTTTGGTGAGTTCCTCTCATGGTAGAGCTGACCTGTGTGACCAGTAGGACATGGTAGAAATGATGGCATGGGACTTCCAAGGCAGGGTCATTAAAGCAGCTTTCACCGCCCCTTGGCTTGCCCACTCCATGGGAGGCCAGCCACCATGTTGTGAGGCCACTTAAAAGTCCTATAGAGAGGTCCACATGGGGATGAAACTCTGAGACATAAAAAGTTATTATTGTTTTTAGCTACTAAATTTTGGGATGATTTACTATGTAGCAATAGATAGATAGCTGATAGAGGAAGCATCAGATTATTTCATGATTTCAAACTTGGGTGATAATGGAGCTAATTACTCATTTTCTTCCTTTTCAAAACATAGTCCATATAAGCAAGCCAATTTGTGATCCAATCCTGTGTGGACTTTCACTCAAAGAAACAATGGTCTGGCAACTGAAAAATAGATGAACCCTATTTAATCCTTTACAACAGTCTCTCCTGAATGTGCTGGAGAGGGACTACTTTCAAAATACTTAGCTAAATTTCTTTAAAATCTCATTTCCCTATCTTATTTTCCATATTGTCTCGATACCAAATTAGCTCCAAAGTTTGTCTTCAAGATCTTCCCAAAAAAGTGTACCATAACCTCAAGCCAAGTAGGCTTTTGTCACTCTCTTCATTGATCAGAGTTTTACTATGTGGGTCTATATTAACCTCTGTCTTTACAGCTTTCCTATCCTCTCAGTATTTGCATTCTGTACAACAACAAAGGAGAGCTCAGGAACTATCCCCGAAAGCAAAGAATCCTCTTTTAAAGGGGAAGAGTGGGGAAGAGAGAGTGAGATTTTCCATGTTGCAATTACAAATAAGAAAACAAAAATTCCCTGCAAATTTTTTTTTCTTTATATGTATGTTCACCAAAGGAACCAGCTCAGAAGGTAGCCTGGTACAGGCAAGTTCATTTGTTATCTGTGTGACACTGAGGACGTTAGATAGCATTTCTGTATCTCAGTTTCCTCCTTTGCAAAATGATAGTATCTACTTGCTGGCTTGTGGAAGAATAAAATGAGTGAAAGCACAAAAAGTGCTTCACACAGTACCTACCAGGTTGGAAACATGCAATAGCTATTAAAGTTTAAAATATCTCAATTTTTGGAAATTCTGTGTCCTGAAATGTTACACAAAAGGGTAAACTATTTCAGATGCTAGTACTTGAGTATCCCTTCTAAATCATGCTTTGTTTGCCTCTTCTCATATTTTGAGATAGCTTCTTCTATCATTGTTAGGACAACAGGTGGCTGTGATATTGGTGTGGCATTGAATAACATTCATCATGTCTGGACCCAAAAGCTGTAAGCACGTTAACTCTGATTTACATCATGTCATATGTGACCAATACCTTCTACAACCAAGTTTTTTCATTTCTTTCTGCACATTTGTTTCTGATTCTGAATACAGATAGTAGAGCCCATTATACTATAATTGCTGAATCTCACTATGTAGTATAAGCATTTAATTTAACTCCACAACTGTTTTTTGGGGTCCTTACTCTGTGCCACAGTTCTGGGTATTTTGTTTGCATCAGTGTACAGAAAGCCAAAGACCTGACCCATGGAGCTTACACTCTAGTGGGAGAATACAGAAAATAAATAATAAAAATAGCATATTAGTAAATTATATAAGATATTAGAAATTGATCATTACAACAACAACAAAAAGAAGTGAAGATCTAGGATAAAATACTTATGGCCATTACTTCCCTGAGGATAGTATCTGATATATCCGAAGACAGATTCA